AGGCGCGTGTACTTTCATACCTTCCTGGGTAGGTAGGTACAGCATACATGCATTCTATCGAGGCACCATATTCATATAGTAAATATGGGGCTCTTATGGACCGAGCCACCTCTCCAAGTAAGGAGTCAGGTACATATATGTAAGTATCCGGTACACTCTCCAGTGTTATCTGTTATCTCCCGTCGCCAAGGCCGTGGTCTTTCCTTTCTGGGAATCCCTCTCTGGGGAGACGAGTCGGTGAGATGGCAGCACGACGTACCATGCCACTTGACCAGCGACACTACCAATCCCCTTCCCCCCCAAAAGTCCCGCCATCGACGCATTTGGACGCATAAGCACAAGCTGATTTGCGAGGGAGCCAACTTTATTCCCCTGAGTCGTGGTTTCTATTTCTGGAGGCTCCGCACCATCCCACGTTGCTCATCTCGACGTCTCTTTGTCTGCCGGGTGAACTAGCTCGACCACGGCTGAACACCCAGCGCGCGCCACGCCATCCATCATGGCCTCGGGTGACAATGTCGACTACGAAGCCGTCATGGTGGATGAGTTTGATGCACTGTGAGTTTGGTACCCGTATGTGATGCCATGTCGGCCCTGCGGTGGCTCCTGATGCTGACCCTGAGCCCAGGAACATCGAGGTCAGGGTTTCGGCGGGCCCATCGTCTTCCGTGCCGGGTGCTGCCCTGTCAGCGCCGCGATGCCCCGGCATGAGAGCCTTGCCGCTGAAGGCGCCCGTCATGTCGACGCCTGTGCCGGCCGCCGCTCCGCTTCCAACGCCGCCTGCTGTGGACGATGGGCCATCTGCTGTGGGTGTGGGCAATGTGCCACCTGCTGTGGACGATGTGCCATCTGCTGTGGACGATGTGGTCATCCAGAAGGAGACAACGAAATATTCAGGTATGTTTCGCCTTGCACACCCTTTCTGGGTCTCCTTCTGGGTCTCCTTCTGGGTCTCCTTCTGGGTCTCCTTCTGGGTCTCCTTGCTGACTTTCCCTTCTCGCTAGCGAAACTCCATGCTGCCAAGGTGGCCGACGAGCTCAAGGCCAGCGCCGGTCTCGTCTTCCTGCCCGGCGAGCCTTCGCGCACCTACGAGTATTCGGACATGGGGCCGGCCTTTTCATCAAACGCCGCTACTTCTTCTACCTCGCCGGCGTCAACGTCCCTGACTGTGCCGTCACCTACGACCTTGCCGATGACCGCCTGACCGTCTGGATCCCTATGTCGAGCCCCGCAAGGTCCTCTACAACGGCCGCGTCCCCTCGATCAAGGACGTCCTCGCGGCCTCTGACGTCGACGAGGTCCGCCACATGCAGGACCTCCCGGCCTTCCTGCACGCCTACGCCCATCAGCACGACAAGGCCACCGTCTACCTCCTCGACGCCTCGCAGTCGCACCCGGCCCTCGTCGACAATGCCCGCGTTCACATTGACACCGCAGCGCTACGCCCGGCCATGGACGAGGCTCGCGTCACCAAGACGGCCCATGAGATTGCCCTCATCCGCGAGGCCAACGCCGTCTCCTCAGCCGCGCACCGCGCCGTCATGCGCCACATCCGCCGCTTCGCCTCGGAGCGCCAGGTCGCCGCCCTCTTCACCGCCGAGTGCACCGTCCGCGGCGCCCCAACCCAGGCCTACGCGCCCATCGCCGGCAGCGGCCCCAACGCGGCGACCCTGCACTACGGCGCCAACGACGAGCCCCTCGCCGGTCGCCACGTCCTCGTTCTCGACGCTGGCTGCGAGGTCAACTGCTACGCCAGCGACGTCACGCGCACCCTGCCCCTGGGCCCCACCGGCCACTTCACGCCCGAGGCCCGCCACATCTACGACCTCGTCGAGCGCATGCAGGAGGCCTGCGTCGCCGCCGTCGCCCCCGGCCTTCTCTACTACAGCCTGCATCTCAAGGCCAGCGCCATCGCCCTGCGCGGCCTGCTGCGTCTCGGCATCCTCAAGGGCGACGAGAAGGCCATCTGGGCCGCCGGCACCGTCGCCGCCTTTTTCCCGCACGGGCTCGGCCACCACATTGGTCTCGAGACGCACGACGTCACCGGCCGCGACCGGCTCCTTCTCGCCGCTGGCGAACGAGAGCCGCGCGCCAAGAGGGACGCTGTCTCGGCCGAGATGCTCGTCGGCCTGGCGGCGGCCGTGGCAACGGGACCGCCGTACCGCGGCAAGCAGATGCTTCGGCCGGGCATGGTCGTCACGGTCGAGCCGGGCATCTACTTCAACAAGGACTACATTGAAGGCTACTTCCTCCGCGAGGACAAGCACCGCGCCTTCATCGATCGTGACGTGCTGGCGAGGTATTACCCCGTCGGCGGCGTCCGCATCGAGGACTGCATCCTCGTGACGGACGACGGGTACGAGAACTTGACAAAGGCGCCCAAGGGCGAGGACATGCTGCGGATCATCCGGGGGGAGGCGCAGTGACGACAGTACACATGGGCTTTGTAGGCGTAGACAGCGTTGGCCATGGCAGCCTGAGCGGTTCGGAGAGATAATGGGAATACCTTCTGGGTGCTTCATTGGCTTCTGTTGACACAACATTGTGGGTTTTTCCCCCTGCGCTTCCTTCCATCGCAATGTGTGGTTTGTGAGGCTTGGACTCTTTGGATATGTACACGGTCTCTGTCTAGTTCACACCATGGTTTTAGGGCGCTTCAATCTCATTGCGTGCTTTGTGAAGTCTGGACTCTTTCGATATGTACATGGCCCCTATACTGTACAGGCGATCGTACCAGCCAACCGAAGAAAAGTACGCATCACCAAAATCAAGACAGTCGTTGAGAAAAACCCGAATATGCTTGTATGCTAAAAATAAGGCCTCCTTCCTGTGGG